TTTGATTTGTTTTGATTTGTTTTGTTCCAAAAACGACAGGAATTATTTAAAATGTTGATCATAAATCAATAATTTTCCCCCCTCTAAACCATGTTACATGTTGTTAATATACGTGTTTTTTAGATCTCATTGCTGATGCTATTGGGACCCAGGACCTTAAGAGAGAGGAACATCTGTCTAGTGTCCAGACAGTTAGAGTCGAGTCATCGATGGAAGCACAAATCTTGGATAGATTGGTACGTTACAATACTATTTGTTTGTTGATATCTCCTGCGCCGTCTGTTCTTCTCATGTTGATGATTTTAATACCAACTTTTTTGCAAAAGCTCTTCATATAAGCCATTCCGAGGTTGAGAAAAGCTGGGTCGAATTGGAATTGCGGTGCATTGTGGGACTGTTTTAGGGGACATATTTCCAATATGGCGTCTATTTTCTCCCCTAAACAGTCCCACAATGCACTACGATGTCAACTCGAACCGAGATTTTTCCCAACCTCAGAATTCAACAGCCAGTGGATCTCTGGTTAAAAAAGACTAACGTCACGAAAAGCATTGCTATAGTATCGGGCGTCCTGTGGACAAGTTGTGATTACTATAACCTGGGCCACCTATACAGCGACAACCAATCAACGCCAAGCAATTGTCGAGCCAATCAGAAACCTAGACTGCATGAGAATGGTAAATTAACCAGGATTCCTTACGAGTAAACAACTAGGCAGCCATCGTCATTTTCTCGTGGGAATAAAAAGATATGTTGAAAAAAATATTGTTTTTCCTCGTTTCTTATTGGCTCCACTACCCAAAGTTGGAAGGTATTGTCTACATTCTACAATATGATTGATTCTCGCTGTTTAGGTATCCCCGGTACATTATAGTAGTTGAACTGTAACAACTTTCTTTTGCCTTCCAGTTGCAGGAGATCGTTACCTGGCTTGGCCAACAATCTCATCCAGTCGAACTTGAGTCAGATTCCTTGAAGAATTTTCTAGAAGAAGGTAAAATTCCGTGCTGTAAAAGTGACGTGTGTCCTACAGTTTGACAGTCATGCAAAATCACTCTAAAATAATAAGCCTGAAGCGAGATGACGTTTTACCCCCGTCTCTAGACCATAATCCTTTTCGCATTGCTTTTGTTCTTTAATTATGACTATTGTTCCAGTATTCTCTCAAAATTTCTCAAAAATTTTGATATGAAAGAATTTTAAAAAGCTATTATGGTATAGAGTCGGGGGTAAAACGTCATCTCGCATCAGGCTTATTCTCCTGTTGACAAATAAACGGTCTTCCAAAAAGTTAGACGTCCTACTTGAGACCAGGGTAAAAGTTCGGACTCAAAAGGTTTCAGAATAGGAAAGAGGTCATTGACAACTAGATTGTTATTTTTGTAGGGCTTCAAAGATATTTTTCCACACCGTTATACGAAGATGTAGCAACAAGAAAAAAGGCTCAACTCAATGAACAGGTAAGACTTTAAAAGTGCTTTAAACGTTTAGAAAAAGTACACAGACACATGTAGGCTCATGCTTCGTTTCATAATCTATGCTGGGCAGTATTCAGAATTGCAGTCCGAATTATCGGCAAACGATCAAAATACCATGCTACGCTTGATTTTATTGGTCAGTATTGTGCATCATTTGATTGGCTAATCTTCCAATTTTCCGTCCTAGTCTCCAAGGGCAATCATTGATTTGTATAACAGCGCCATCGAGCACCTTGCAACAGTTGCGTCATCAGGAAGTCTCGGTCAGGTGTCCTGGCCAATCACAGAGTTCTGCATTAATGACAACAAAGGTACTGTTTTACATGACGTCACAGCCGCCATATTGGTATTCAATATGGCTGCCATCTCTATAGGACGTTTTCATGATGGCGTCATTTGACTCCCTCTACCATAATGCTGAAAGGGAGTGTGAAAGGGAGTCTGGTAGTAGAGGGCAATGACGCCATCATGCGAACGTCCTTAATCAACTAAAAGCGATGTAACATTTTCTATCTAAAAATTCTCGTTCAACGAAAGTTTGAAAATGTTATTTTTCAGTTTTTCCAAATTTTGACTGGAATTCAGACGCGAATTTATCTTCCTTGAGCAGTGTTATCTTGTCATTGTGTCTTCCACAGCCACCCCCTGGTGCAGGAGAAGGTAAGGCTATGCTTCTCAATTATTGCAAGGTTCAAAATAAAATATGAAAGCTGGGAAAAAGACGTAAAATAGATATGTTTCGTAATACAACTCGTGGAATGTTCATAAATTGCTGCACTGACAGAAAGCATGGAAGCTTTTAACAAATGTTTTATATCGACTGGATATTTATGTCATTTACCAGAATACCTTTCCGTCTTAGTTTTTATGGTCTAGGTTTTAAACCCGAGCAAGTATTTAGCACCTGAATGGGCTACCTAATAATGCAATACAGTTGTCTGACCAAGCATTTTTATTGTACGAAACTGAAGTAATTATAGTCGGCGCGGCTTTTTTTCTATTTGAAACATGCAGGTACGTGGGATTCAGGAAGTCAACTCTGTCACGAGTATGTGAAAAGCTTGCCATTCAAGTGTTGCTCCCTAGCACAGAGGTAAGAGAACTGTTAGCAACCATATTAAATATATAGCAATTATTGGACGAGGTTGAGCAAAATATCGTGATCTTTTAGTGGCGAGCCATGTTGACAAATGCAAAATACTGCGCAGGAGCAGACTATTATTTGCAGCAAAAAGGGCACCAAAGACAAACGTTCGCGCAGGCGTGCCTTTCAACACGTTTTCTAAGAATTTATAAAAAGTGTTCTTACAGTACTTAAAACATTTCGTGAGTATGCTTTCGTGAGACCAATATACTGTATTAATAAAGACAATGTGAAAGAATTAGCCTTAAATTTCAAGCATTGAAGCTACGTTTTTGCACTTTTTGAAGTCAGCAGACGTTTCTCACTCGTGTCGACACTCGTGTTAGCAAAATGACTTTGCACCTTAATGCGCATTAGCAGACAATTATTTGTAGGCAGCAATTTACAGTTCTCGGCCAATCAAAACGATGGAAAAAATAATTTGAATGTTAATAATGCGTGGCTCATTTGTGCTCTGCCAGTGATCACTCACACTTGCTTCGACTCTTATTAATCTGTGTAGCCTTGAATACTCCATAAAAGGGAACACTGAACACTGATAGACAGAGCCATGCATTGGTAAAATTCCCACCGTCAGCTTTCATTGGCAGCTTTTGAACTGACACTAAAAGAAACTACTGACAGTAGAGGATGTCGTTACTTTGCTTTAAATTTACAATTACATTTCAAATAAAGAGTGAAATAAGGAATAGGAATGACTGTTATTTATAACAATTGTTGTTTTCTAACAGTAAATATTAGAATAATATTTAATATTAATATTAAATATTTCCAGTTTATCTTCATTTAAATCTAAACTCAAGACTCATTTATTTGAATTACCTTTTTCTTTATAATCATATTATCTATCTTATTTATTTATTCATTTACGTATGTTACCAAGCGCTTAGAACAGACTTGTATAAGCGCTATATAAGCCATATATATTATTATTATTATATTAATACGGCAATATTAATCTGATAATTATGTTGCAGAGTGGGTTGGATACTGGAACACAAGCATCATTCACTCCAAGCCATTGATTTTCTCTCCAGCCAACCGCAGCTCACTGCTGCCCATGTGCCCTGGACCCAAGTCATCGAAGCCTGTGTTTCGTCAGCAATGACGTCATTACATTCTAACCCAGTACTTTCCGAGGTGGAAGTATTTTATCTGCAGAGCGAATTTGAAGAATATGTTCAACCGAGAATTTGGAGGGAAGCTGTGGCATCGTCTAAGAAAGAGTATTCTGCCCAAGTGGAGGGAAAACGGTAAGTTTCTTACACGAATATGCTCGTTATATGGAAGAGGGAAAATGAGCATTGCTTCGGTATTGCATTGGTATATTGCCAGTGGTAGCTAAGCAATTTATTAAAGAATTGGTTGCTCTGAGTTGAGCCTGAAGTTTTTAGAAGTCACATAAGCAAAGCTAAGCGGTCAATGTGACGTGAAACTAACCCTCAACTGCTGACAGCAGTTTTACTTAATATTACATTCTCGTTTTATAAGATAACTTTCCAATTTCTCAATTTTAAAATTTTGCGCTTGTTTCTAGATTGAAGCTTAGTTTTCCTGTCAAGACTAGAAATGAAGTGGCTCATGAATCAGTAGTTATGGTTGACGAAGAACTGAATAGAATACTGAGTAAGTATAACTCTCAATATGACTGTCACATCTTAGTACCAACACTACCAACATCCTTCCCAACCCTATTCATTACCTAAACTACCAACACTATAATTTTATATATATTTAACTCATCACCTAATTTTTCAGATGAAAGCAATTTGTCATCGCAGAGAGCACCTGAGGACAGTTTATCATTTGACGAGTCCATTTACGAACTGAAGAACGAACTTGGGTCGGCTTTACGCGAAGCAAGGCAACAAGTACACAGGTAAGGAACGAGCTTGCTGCTCAATTGAACTTAGTGGGTACCGTAAATCCTCTATTTAGCCCCCGGCCCCGGGGGGCTTATTTATTTCAGGCACGTTTGAGGGAGGGCTTATTGGAGAGGGGGGGGGGGCTT